ATAATACATTTGTAATCTCGTCTTTAGTCCATGTCTGATTAAACTAAGCAAAGCACAAGCTGATCTCTAACAGTTAGTCAGCCCAGGCTGCATGAGTTCTGTAACAGTATTGCAGTCCATAGTGTGAAGTTTTGTTTTGAGCTACCTTCAACTTTTTTCTCTTTTGCAGGAGTACTGATGAAATCAAGTAGTAATGATAAAGCTGTGAGAGACCAAACCATGAAAAACGTCTAACCAGTGTTGCTACAACTTACTTGAATTAAATAGGATCATGAGACAAATCTCTGCTTGTATCTATGAGTGATGATGTAAAACCCAACCAGAAGTCTCACTGTGTCTCCTCTACTGAGTGGGACATAAATGATGTTTTAAAGGGAGGGGAATAAAGAAGGAGGAGCAGTGAAACAATCCTGTTTTTAGCCGTTGTGCTCGTTTCATTTCAGATGCATACTCGAGCTGAGTCCGTTTTTGTACTGTATCGAGTATCTGACTGTATAAAGCAGCAGTTAAACTGAGGACATAATGACCACAGGCTTGCTTCTTCTTCTCCTGGTGCTTTCTGGTTCTCAGGCATCCCATTACTTTGGGACAGTGATGACCTTTACCCCTAAAGAAAGCACGGATGATGGATCTTTAAGGGTAAGGGCATAGTGCAAAAATATTGATTGCTGTTATAATGTGTTCTTTTACAAAATTTGTATTTGTAAAAAAAAGTGAAAAAGTGCTCAGCTTTGTTTGATTTACGAAATGGGGGGAATTAACGTGATGTCGTGAGTGTAAATCAATCACACATGGGAGTGTCAAAATCTGTGGGTGAACTACTGGCAATGTGCGAACTTATATACAAAGAGGGCAAGTAATTCCAGATTTTACAGAGCCGTCTCAGTGTGGTAGCTGAAGAAGAATCTGCATATATTTTCTACTTTTTTATGTAACCTTTCTATTAGAAATTGTTGGGAATTGTGCAAGCATTGCAGGATGGGACAGCTGCTCTCTGGATAAATTTGACAGCTTAGGTAAAGCCCAGGATTTATCTTGCATTCAGTTCTTCTTTGTTGTTCTTACCACAAAATGGTCCAGTCTGCTTAAAGCTGTGAATTGGAAAAATACACTGGTATCATTGTTGTGTAATATATGTAAGTCTAATGTAACTTTTCACATGTGTTAGTATGCAGTGGTTTTATTGTGTGAAGTGCCATGAATTCCATGATCAGAGGGTGATCATGAAGCTGTGTGGTTTCCAATTTGTTATTACAACATAATCAGGGTATTAGCTACCCAGTGGACAACACAGTACTGTCTATTAATTTTTTAAGTTGCAACAATCTTGTTATAATATTATAAAATCATATAACAA